TCGGCTGTTGATGACATGCTAGCCGCCGATATCATTTCCCCTTCCAACAGCCCGTGGGGCGCGCCGATCGTTTTGGTGAAAAAACACGACGGCTCACTGCGGTTTTGTGTCGACTTTCGGCGTCTGAACAAAATCTCTGTGGCAGATGCGTACCCGCTTCCTCGAATGGATGAGTCGCTCGATGCCTTGGCGGGGGCGCGATTCTTTTCCACCCTCGATTTGCTATCTGGATTCTGGCAGCTTCCTCTGGATGACGAATCAAAACCTAAGACTGCTTTTCGGACACCGCAAGGTCTCTTCCAATTTAACCGCTTGCCGATGGGTTTACATTCTGCGCCGGCAACTTTTCAGCAGTTAATGGAATTGGTCTTGGCAGGTTTGCAATGGGATTCGTGTTTGATTTACTTAGACGATGTCATCGTCTTTAGCAAATCCTTCGAGGAACACCTCCAGAGGTTGCGTGCTGTTTTTCTCAAAATGCGGGCTGCCAATTTGAAATTTAAACCGCAGAAGTGCCATTTACTCCGCGAATCGGTGCGATATTTGGGTCACATTGTTGGGCGCTCGGGGATATCCACTGATCCCGCCAAAACGGAATGCGTCAGCTCCTGGCCGACTCCCACCTCGGTGGGAGAGGTCAGGAGTTTCATTGGGTTCGCGTCGTATTATCGACGATTTGTGGCTGACTTCGCTACGATTGCGAAACCGTTGCATGCCTTGACGTCCAAGGGAGTCAGGTTTCATTGGGGGCCGGAGGAGGAGACTGCTTTTCGTGCCCTCCGGAATGCTTTGGTGGGGGCTCCGCCGTTGAATTACCCCGATTTTTCACAACCCTTCTTGCTCGATACTGACGCAAGTAACACGGGCATCGGGGGCGTGCTGTCCCAGCTCATTGGGGGCGTAGAGCATGTGGTGGCTTACGGTAGTCGGGTACTGTCTCCAGCCGAACAGCGGTACTGCGTTACCCGTCGGGAATTATTGGCGATTGTTTATTTCATTCAGCAGTACCGCCCGTATCTGTACGGTCGGCGGTTCACCGTCCGTACAGATCATGCGGCCCTACAGTACGCCCTGCGGGTTCAACAACCATCGGGCCAGTTGTCTCGATGGTTGGAGATCCTCCAAGACTATGACTTTGTCACCACATATCGTAAGGGTGTCCGCCACACGAACGCTGACGCCCTGTCACGATTGCCACCCACTTTGGAGTGCGCGTGCCTGTTGGGTTCGGGGCGTTGTAGGCCCCCGAACGTCACCACCGATTCGGTCCTCGTGGCCGCTGCCGATGCACCTTCGGCTTCGGGTCCTATCGAGCAAGAAGGGAGGGATTCGTTGCTGGGGTTGCCGGTCGCGGAATGGGGACGCCTCCAAATGGAGGACACCTCCCTCCTCGCTTTGCGCCGTCGCGTCGGGGGGGCTGGTCAGGGGGTGGAAAACGTTGACTCGTGGGGGTTGTTCCAGGGTCTTTTGATGCACTGGGACGGACAAACCCGGCGCCAGCGGCTTGTGGTGCCTGCTGCTTTAAGGGGTAAGGTGGTATGGGCTGTTCATGAGCGGCTTCTGCACTTGGGGGTTCACAAGACCTTTGCCACGCTCCAGCTGGATTTCTTCTGGCCAGGCATGGAAAAGGACGTGGGGGATCTCTTGGGGTCATGCACGCAATGCGCGCAGAGGAAGCCGCCTGCGAGGGGGTCCAACCCTCCGCTGCAGTCCATAAAAGTTTCCCGGGTTAACGAGCTCGTCGCTCTGGACATACTTGGCCCATTTCCCGCTACGCCCAGGGGCAATAGGTATTTACTAACGGGGGTTGAATACTTCACGAGATGGCCTATGGCCTGGCCCCTGGCGAACCAGTCGGCAGCAGCCATCGCGGAGGCCTTTGTCCAGGGCTATGTCCTCGACAAAGGTGCTCCGGAACGGCTGCTTACTGACCAGGGTAGGAATTTTTCTGGTAAACTCCTACGTGAGGTGTGCGACCTCTTGGGTACGGAGAAGGTTCGGACCTCTCCGTATCACCCACAAACTGACGGGATGGTGGAACGGCTGCATCGGACCATCACGTCCATGCTGTCCCAGCAGGTGTCGATATCCCAGACGGATTGGGACCTCCGTATAGCCGGTGTGTTGCAGGCCTACAGAATGGCTCCCCATGCGGCCACCGGATTTTCCCCTTTCTTTTTGATGTATGGGCGCGAAGTTCACCCCCCTGTGGCGACCCAGCTGAAGCTCTCGGCGCCCCAGGCGAAGTCTAACTTGTCCGAACACGTTAAATTTAACATCGCTAAATTGTCTGAGGCGCGGGAAGCGGCCGTGCAAAATTCCGAACTCCGCCAGAAGGCGAACGAGAGGCTTCGGTTAAGGCGGGTGCAGGTGGTCAAATGGAAACCAGGGGACAGGGCGTGGTTGCACTGTCCTCAGGTGCCGCTGGCAACCTCGTCGAAATTGGTACGGCCGTGGCGGGGGCCAGTGGAGGTCGTGCAGGTTTTGCGGCCGCAATGTGTTCGCGTCAAATGGGGGAGGCGCCGGTGGTATGTGCACCCCTCAAGGTTAAAACCATTCGTCACGCCGCCCCGTGGTTCACACACACATACGCATGGCCAAACGTGTGAGGGTGTCGCCGACTCCCCGTCGTCGCTGCACTCGCCTAACCTGACGCCAGCTGTTCCGTCCCCAGGTGAAACAGGAGTGACGGGCCCACGCCCACCAACCCCTCCCGGAGGGGTCGGGGGTCACTCGGCAGCGACGCCTGACCCTCTTGCACCCGGACCGTCTACAACCGTCACTGAGCGTGCCGGGACGGGCCCTTGTGACGGGCCCGCCGCGAGAACGCGCGCCAAAACGCGCAGACTTTTGTGAGGTCGGCCGTTGGGGGGCCTTGCGGACAAAAAGGGAAGGGGTGTTGTGAGGTCGGCCGTTGGGGGGCCTTGCGGACAATGGGAAAGGTGGCGTCCGGAGCGTATATATATGTTGGTTTTGGGGTATTTATCCGGGGAGGGTGCGTCGGGTTATTTTTTTTCTCTCTCTCTCTCTTCCTCTTGTTGTTCTTGTTGAGGTTTTCTTGTTCTTGTTAAAAATTATGCGAGGCACACACATGGGGTTTTCGTGAGGGATGCACCTTTATTCAGATTTTTTTTTTTTGCAGCCGGGGACGGCTGCGAGCTGTACAGGGGGGGGGTGATGTAGAGGTGTAATTGCACATGGCTACGAATGTTGAGGCGTGATTATGCATGGCCACGGATGGCCAACAAACACAAGGGGCGGGGTTACGGCCGTACACAAGGGTGGCGCTCGCACCGACGTCCGCATGTGTATCCCCCACGGGCCCCCCCTTGGGGGCAAGTCCTATAAAAGGTGATGAGCCGAAAGGCTCGGGAGTCGGGACTCAGCTTTAACCAGAGAAGAACGAAGACCTGCTAGTATAGGCCCCGGAGCTCCCCTGGCTCGCTGTCCTTCTAAGGGCCGACCAGGGCAAGCCGGTGGCGTGGCCCCGAGAGCCCAGACGAAGCTGGTCTGGTGACTCAGGGAGCCGGGATCCCAGCTTAACCAAGCTGGGACAGATAGCCTCCCCTAGTCCCGTAGTGGAGGAGTTGGTATAGGCTAGAGGGGTTAGCTGTCGAGAAATCCCTGTAGCCAAGTGACCTGTAATAACTGTGTTGGTGTAATAAATAAGTGTGCCTCCGATCCTGTCGTCAAGCCTCCATATATACTTACTACACTGGCAAGGGAGGTCCCATGAGGTGTTAAGATGTTCATACTCAAAATGGATGCCTTTTGCAACGAATAAAGTCTGCATTAACTACACAAACTTATTTGGTGTTTGAACATCTGAAAACAACTCCTGTTTTATTGCCAGAAAGGGTAAAACCTATCATTATTATTTTCTCACACTTTGATACCAGCAAAAAAAAGGTCCTATTTTTTTTTTACGCGCTGATGTTGATGTGATACGGCCAGACTACCCCTGGGGCGCCTGCCCCCTGCCCACATGAGCGGTTAACGGTGCCGGGTTCAGCAAAGGGCCTCGCCCGGTGGTTTGTGACTCCACAAACTGGACCCTGAGCCGCAGCCCCGTGACCGAGTTAAACACGACAACTCCCACCGGTGTCTCACAGCTCAACAACTGCATCGCGACTTTGAGACAAAAACACATTATTTTCATAAAGTAGTTTAAAGTGTTAAACTTAAAACAAATAAAGTGAAGCCGGAAGACGAAGATAACAACAACAACAATCAATCTTAATTTGAAGCTTTCGTGACTGCAGGGATTACTGTTTGGTTCTTTCGGTAAAGTCACGTATAAAGATAAAATAATAAATTAAATAATAGCATACTACGACGTTTCGATTGCAACACAAGCAATCATCATCAGGTATAAAAGAAATAGCAGCAAAAATCTAACCAGAAAACTATATCTGTCTGCTTATATGTCTGTCTATAGTTTTCTGGTTAGATTTTTGTTGCTATTTCTTTTATACCTGATGATGATTGCTTGTGTTGCAATCGAAACGTCGTAGTATGCTATTAATTAATTTATTATTTTATCTTTATACGTGACTTTACCGAAAGAACCAAAGAACAACAACAATGTCGTGGAGTAGAGCGGCAGGGAGCAACGAGTTTACTAGCAGCGTTCTCCTGACAGTTTAGCTGAGACGAGTTGAGGTGAGGTGGTGAGGTGAGTAGAGGTGAGTTGAGTTGTGATGAGGTGCATGAGGATGAGTATTTGAGACGAGGTGATCCGAGTCTTCTTTTTAAAGCCACCCCTGGAGTGGAGACGTCTGTACTCACTCACACGTCAACACATTCCAGAGCACGCCTCGTGATATGCCAATAAAACTGGAAGACTTCCTTCTTCCTTGTCACCTATTTACGTGGCTTGTTCCTCGTTTAGCATCTCAGACGTAGCCAGCGACTACCTGAGCTACAGACAGAGACTGCCTGAGCTACAGCCAGAGACTTCCTGAGCTCCATCCAGCGCCTGTCTTTGAAGCCACGGGGCCATGGCGAGTGCGGCTCCCAGTGGTAGCGAGGCTCCAGGGGAGTTGACCTGCCCCATCTGCCTAGACGTCTTCCGCTGCCCCTGCACGCTCAGCTGCGGTCACTCGTTCTGCCTCAAGTGCGTGGAGGACGCCTGGAATGCGGCAGAGTCCTTCTCCTGCCCGCAGTGCCGAATGACTTTCCCTCGGAGGCCCAAGCTGAGCAAGAACGTGACGCTCACCAGCCTCATCGAGCAGCTGCGAGTGACTGAGCCCATGGATGCCGATGCTGCTGCTTCTGCTGTTTGCTGCGACCATTGCAGGAAGCCCGCAGTGAAGACTTGCCTCAAGTGTGATACGTCGTTCTGTATGACCCACGTCGTGCCCCACCAGAAGTTGGAAAAGTTTAGTGACCACGTCCTGGTGTCGCCCGGTGTGAACCTGGAGAATCGACGGTGCGCAGAGCACGGAGACGAGTACCGCTTCTACTGCGTTAACGATGGACGCCTCGTCTGCAGGGATTGCACCGTCACTGTGGATCATCGAGGGCACAAACTTGTCACTCTGAAGGTGGAGCACGACAAAAGAAAGGTGAGGAGGAGGTTCTCACGGTCACCGTGTAGTACCCATGATACCGCAGCATCAAGCTGATGAACTCTGTCATTGGCTCTCAACAGCAACATCGAATGATAACGAAACCACAGCGAGTGGCTCAGACTCATTTTAAAGTGGATTTAATATTTTACATGTCCGTCAATTTATTTTTCAAACGAGTTTTTGAACGGTAGATTCATAGCACCCTTCTGCATCGCGACTTTCCCCATCGCGGTTTCGATATATCGCGGGGTTGGCATAAGAAATAAAATTGGCATTTTTGGGGAGTTTTTGGGAGTTTTGCGAAAGCCGCAGACGACACGCAAAAAGTTTAGTAACTCAAATGCATAAATTATATGTACAGTACTGTATAATATTAATGTATTTAATATTTCAACAAGCCTGTTTGTCCCTCCAAGGACGGGTGTATATTGCAGTAAATCTGAAATATTCAATAGAAAAATTGTTCAGCTCATGATTATTAATGAGGGGGGTGGGGGGGGGGTTGCCCCACGCCCCATGTGGAGTGATTTAACCCGCTAATGGTTATTGGGGAGGAGTGCGGCATGTGGAGTGACGTCACCCGTTCATGATTATTAATGAGGCGGGGGGAGTCCATGTAGAGGACCCCATCTGTTCATGAATATTAATGAGGGGGGTTGGCCTCATTTGGAGTGACGTCACGTGCGGGACACAAAGACCATAAATATACACAAATGTTTTTAAGTTACATTTTTTTAAAAGTTAGTTTTCTAAAAGAACTGCGGTTCTATGCGCTGGTTTGGAGGACACCAAGCGTGTTTACGGCAGCCTCTCACTTGATGTCTCGCAGTGATCTCGCAGTGATCTTTGTATCTCGCTTTTCTCGTGTCTTTTTGTACCGCTTCGCTCGCCAAGGGGACCAAAACATTTTACGCGGTTTTTTTTAGATCACGGGGGGCCTGCGCCCCAAAATCCCGCGATGTGAAAGGATCGACTGTATACAGGTGTAGTGGTTTAAATTCAGGCGCACACTGGAACTTTGGAGGCAATTCTATTTATTAGGTAACATAACAATTAACACTTAACATAACGACTTAAGGTGGTAGCCACCTTTCCTAACTTAACCAACACACGGGGATATTACATCACTGGACCAGGACAGCCCAACACGCTGCCTGGTCCACTAGCGGAGACCGGAGAGCTTCATCCCAGAGATGACCCAGAAGAACAGTCCAGAACAGCCCAGAACAGCACAGCTCTCCATCCACACCCCGCTTATAACCACTCTGGCGTGGCTGGCTCTGCCCCAGGCCACGCCCCCCCCCTGGGGCCCCTGGCCCGCTTTTATCCGGTCACGTGTCCTGTTGGGTTCACACAGAGTGTCACGGCCTGACACGACCTCCGTGACAACTGCCGACAGCCCCCATACCGAGCCAATACAGTAGTGTCGTTCTACTACACTACACAGGCATCAGGGTTCGGTTCGAACCCACGACCTCCTGTTTAGCAGGCAAGGCAGATAACATCTCACCACTATGGTGCCCTGTCCACCCACTACTCAGATAGCCCCGTCCACGACTCGGATAGGCCCGCCCACTACTCATGTAGCCCCACCCACCTCTCGGGTAGCCCCACCCACCACTCTGATAACCGCTCATTACTCAGGTAGCCCTGCCCACTACTCCAGTAGCCCTGCCCACTGCTGAGGCAGTTCCACCCACTACTTAGGTAGCCCCGCCCACTGCCCAGATAGCTCCAGTAGCCACACCTAATACTTAGGTAGCTCCTCCCACCGCTCAGGTAGCCCCACCCACTACTCAGGAAGCCCCACCCACTACATGGGTCACCTGCTCATTATTCGGGTAGCCCCACCCACTACTCCAGTAGCCCCACCTTCTGCTCAGGTAACTCCACCCACTACTCAGCACCACTCACTACTCACGCAGCCCCAACCACTATGCAGGTAGCTCCACCCTCTGCTCAGGTAGCCCTACCCAATGTTCAGGTATCCCCACTCACTGCTTAGGTAGTTCCACCCACTACTCAGCACCGCTCAACACTCACGCAGCCCCAACCACTACGCAGGTAGCCCAATCCACACTGCAGGTAGCCCCACCCAATACGCATGTAGCTCCACCGACTCCTCAGGTAGCCCCACCCAATACGCATGTAGCTCCACCCAATACACAGGTAGCTCTGCCCACTGCTGAGGCAGCTCCACCAACAACTTAAGTAGCCCCCCCCCACTGCTCAAGTAGCCCCACCCACTACTTTGGTAGCCCTGCGCACGTTTGAGCTCCTCGAAAAATGAGTTCCCTTCTGCGCTTGCTCCTCCGGGGCTATTGCCGCCATCATTGTGGAGGGGTTCGCGTGGAGTTGGGGTGAGAGGGGATGCTTAGAGAGTGAGTTGAGTCTCTCCTGGTGACGTCTCTCACAGAAACAAGTGGGAGAGGAGACGCGGGCAGTGGAGGAGAAAAGGAAGGAGGCGGAGGAGTCCGTGAGGCGGATGGAGGCCGATCGTAGGGATGTGCAGGTACCGCGTCTGGGCCAGACTCTGTGACCCCGTGACTCCACCCTGAGTAGGGTTTGTGATGGAGGAGAACTCCATTCATTCACGTGGACTTCCATTGGCTCTAAACACATTGTGGGACTAAAGACACAACAGTTAATGCGCCTCAATAATCAGGACGAGCAACGAGGTGATTCTCATCTCCACTGAGAAACTCAATCAGTGGTGGAAATTCCACATTCCCATATCTCCATACAACTTACCAATTCAACGACTGTTAACTATATTGGTCAGATGAGGTGGTACGTACCTCTTATCCAATACTCTGGTGGCAGAGTTGGTGGATCACACACAGGCTGTTGTACACCATCTTACTGAAATCAATCAGCTTTGGGGTGGCTAGGTGGCTGTATAGCAAGTGGTTTCATGATCCCATCTCTTCATCCATACATATGTGGCTTTCTCTTACATTCAAAACATTCATTTCAAGAGGAATTGGCCTAACTTCCCATATCATTCAGGCTCTACTTGTTGAAGGCAAATTACAAATTTCCCTTCGCTTCATGTGACGGTAAACAAAGCATAGTTCTGATAACCTTGCACAATGACAATGGCATGGATGCTAAATGTACTCATGATGGTATTTGATGATTTCATTTCCTCACAGCCTCCGCCAGTTATGGCGAATCGTGTTGTAGCGAAAATGCACAGCGGCGTTATCAGAGGCAGAGAAAGAAGGAGGCCTCAGTGCTGCAGACTCGTATCACTGTCGGACCACCTTCAGAGTTGCACTCGGGTCACACCGACCTGAATGTCATTTCACAACGGACCAGACATTTAATGAACAGAAGTGGAATTTATTTCTTTTTGCAGGGATCAATGACAGATGAAAAGGCCTCAATCTCGGTCAGATTCACCCGCGCGAGAGCAGCGTTGGATGTGGAGGAGAAGGCGGCTTTTGAGCAAGCGGAGCAGAAAGGGCGCGAGCTGCTGACCCAGATCGAGAAGAAGATCGCTCGCTACCAGCGCGAGATCAGCGAGCTCCAGACAGCAGCCACTCGCCTGAAGGCCCTAGCACAGGAGAGGGACTCGCTCGCATTCCTGCAGGTGAGCGATGAGTCTCGAGTGTCGCTATTGGCACAGAGCCCTCTCACCAGGAGCAGCAGAGGGAGGCTCCTGAATGAGAGCTCGCATCCACTGGGCTTGAGAACACAGCTCCACTCATGGACTCGCATCGCAGCTCATATTTTCTCAGTTTAGTTAATTAGCTCTCCTATTTTTTAACAGATTCCCATTAAGTTAGTTTTATTGTGATTCTAAACTAAATGTTATTGGAATTGCACTTTTTAAATAAACCCTACAACAACAGCAACAACAATGTACATGGTCATCATTATTATCATCAGCCATAAGCTATCCACTGATGGATGAAGGCCTCCCCAAGCCATTGCCACATCTCATGATCCTGCGATGCAACAATCCACCAGCGCCTGCTCACGAGCCGATGTCATCTCTGCTTCTTACTTTGTGGACCTCCTCTTGGATGCGCTACCTTCAGTGTTCCTATTATGGAAGCTAAAATAAATACGAGGTCTCATACGCGTATTAATGACATTCTTGTGTATTCACCACCACTTCTGTAAGACCTGCCACGTGTGCATTGACGACAGAATTAATCTCAACACTAATTAATATCAACTGGTCTCACTCTGAAATAGTTGGTCCTCATAGGGGTGGCGAGATGTTAACTGCCTCGCCTGGTATACCGAAGGTCGGGGATTTTATCCCAACCCTGATGTCCTTTTACATTTGGAGTTTTCATGTCTCTTTCCATGGTCACATCGATTTTTCTCCGGGTCCTCCAGTTTTTCACTCCACATTTGGAAACGTGCGTTTAGAGTATTAGGCTGCTATAAATTCCACACGTTATGAACTACTTAATTGAGCTATCATTTGTTGCCAGGTCGCTTCTGAAAAAGAGCTCTATCGCTCAGTGGGCCTTACGTGGAAAAAAAAATAGTAGTTCATAGTTGACTTTCAACTGGTCTCACTGAAATATTTGCCCCGTAAGTCAGTGTTGGTGATCATGGGGTCATAAGCAAAGACTTTGGAGTTTACATTCCACCCACGGTGTTGCAGTGGGAACTCCACTGATCACAAGGGATTGGAGGTAGAGACACAGTAATAAATCTCTCTCTATCTCTCCCACAGGGCCACCTGAAGGAGACGCACAGGTAAAAGACGACTATCACTCACGACTCGACACACGACAACATGGGACTGAGTGTGAGGTGCGGGCAGTGAGACATTGGCTGTGTGTGGGGTAGCTGTGTGTTGTGATGCTGTGTTTGGTGATGCTGTGTGGTAATGATGCTGTGTGGTAATGATGCTGTGTGTGGTGAAGCTGTGTGTGGTGATATTGTGTGATGAGGCTGTGTGTGGTGAAGCTGTGTGATGAGGCTGTGTGTGGTGATTCTGTGTGATGAAGCTGTGTGGTGATGCTGTGTGGTGATGATGCTGTGGGATGAGGCTGTGTGTGGTGATGCTGTGTTATGAGGTTGTATCTGGTGAAGCTGTGTGAAGATGCTTTGTGATGATGATGTGTGCTGTGTGGTGATGCTGTGTGTGGTGATGCTGTGTGTGATGATGCTGTATGTGGTAATGCTGTGTGATTATGCTATGTGTGGTGAACTGTGTGTTGATACCGTGCGTGGTTATGCTGTGTGTGGTAATATTAATTCTGTGTGGTGATGCTGTAATTGTGAGATGAGTGATGATGCTTTGTTTGATGAGTGCCTGAGAGATGGAGCTGTGATGATCCTGTGAATAACGATGCTCTGCGTGAGACAGTAGCCATGTCTGTTCTGCTTTCACAGGACAGGGAGGGTTACAGCAGATCCACCCTCAGCTCCCAGCCAAGAGGACTTTGCCTCACTTAAAGTCCTGGGGACAACTAGAGCCAAACTCCTGTGTGAGTTCTTCAGTGTGAATGATGGGTGATTGGGCGGTCTTGACAAAAAAATAATCCCCGTGTGTGTTTTATAAACATCACCACTAGGGAGACAACGGCGACCAGGCGTAGTGCAGGCCACCCACCCCCTCGTTTGCCGTCCCAGCCTTCAACGGTGCTGATTTGCCCCAAGAGTCTGTAAAGGCAACACGGGGGATGTATTTGTTTACATCCTGAAACCTGATGTGGTGTATAAACAAAATCGCCACTTAGGGAGACAAAGGTGGTCGGGCGTGGTACTGGCCACCCACCTCGTGTGCCATGCCAGCCTTCATAGACACACACGGACAGCACTTGTCCCAATCGTCTGTGAAGGCTACACAGGGGATCTTAGTCTTTGTTCACATCCCATTCCAGGATCCTACTGAACAGAGCCATGAGACTCAGTGTGGTGGTCTTGGGTAAATAATCAGCATTACGAGTCAGGGGTAATTGTGATGTTGAGATGGAGTTTGTGCCTGTGAATGTGTCTGTGCATTTATGCATGGGGGGAGCGGTGGCATAGTGGTGAGCACACTGCACTACGAACCTATTTACCTGGGTGTGATTACCCGCCATGGCTAACATCAGTGGCAGGTGATATCTGATCCAGTCCTGGGCCTATGCTAGGCAGTTTCATCCTCAAATGAGTTCCTGACGCTGGTAATGGTCATAATGATGGTGATAGTGGTCGAGATGAGGATGGTGGTAATGATGCTGATGTTAGTAATGTGAGTGATGGGGATGGTGATGGTGTTGGTCGTGTTGATGGCAGCGATGGTCGTGGTGATGGCAGTGATGGTGACATTGGTGATAATATAGGTGGTGATGGATGTGATTGTTTTGCTAATGGCGCTGATGGTAGTAATGATGATGATATTGGTTAAGGTGGTCATGGTAGTGATGGTGGTGATGATGGTTTTGATGGCCGTTGTGATGGTTATGATGCTGATCGTGTTGGTGATGTTGGTGATGAAGATGGTGCTGATGGGGATAGTGGTGATGGAAATAGTGGCGATCGTCGGGGGGGTGGTAGTGATGGTGGATGGCGCTAGTAGTGGTGATGATGGTTGTGATGTTGCTTATTGCGGTAGTGATGTTGATATTCAGTGTTGATGATGGTGGTGAATGTGATATTTATGTTGTTGTCATTGGTGATATTGATGGCGAGGATGGTTGGTGATGGTGATGTTATTGTTGATGGTGAAGATGATAGTTGGTGATGGTAATGTTGATGGTGGTGATGGTGGATGATGGTGATGACGGTGTTCTGTAGTGATGTGATCGCTGTTGTCACAGACGGATGCTCACCAACTCTGGACACAAACTCAGCTCAAAACAAACTCCAGATCTCCTCGGATCTCAGGACGATGACAGCATTCCATGCCTCCCAGGGTCGCCCCGATCACCCACACCGGTTTGATGGCTGTGCACAAGCCCTGTGTTGTGAGAGCTTCTCGTCGGGCCACCACTACTGGGAGGTGGACGTGGGGGACGCGCGGTGGTGGCGGATTGGAGTCGCGTACGGGACGATTCCACGGAAAGGACGTGGTGATGCACAGCAGATGGGAGGGAGCGACGCGTCCTGGTGTTTAGAGAAATGTTACGACAACTTCTCAGTGTTTCATGGTGGAGTGGAGACTGCACTGTCAGTGAGGGGGGCCCCCTCCCCCCGCAGAATCGGGCTTCACCTGCACTGGGAGGAGGGGCTCCTGGCGTTTTACCGCGCCGACTCCATGGAGGTGATCCACGAGGTTCGGCAGAGATTCTCGCAGCCTCTCTACCCTGCGATGTGGGTGGGGTTTTGTAATGAACCATTGAAGATTGTGGATCTGAGTCGTGCATCCTGAGGATGAAGAGAGATAGAACCCCAATAAACGGTGGAGAGGGGGATGGTGAGGAGATGGTGAAGTGAGGGTGAGGGGAAGGTGGAACGGAGGGTGAGGTTAGGTTCAAGTTCATGTATTAGGTGTAGCCCTGTGAGCCATTCGGCTCTTGAATCGGGTGCAACCGCAACAAACAAAAACACTAAAACATGAACAAGAAAACATCTTAAAGTGACTATATGTGACTGAGTGCAAAGAGAAATACAAGAAAAGACTGCTAAATATTGCAGAAAAAAATCACCGTACACCAACGCTGTGTGCAAAAATCCCAGTGTGATGCAAGTACAACAACAACCACAAGACAACTTAGATTAAGGCCATCAGTCTAACTCTGTACTACAACAACACAAACATGGCTAAACCAATATACTTTTCGAAATCACCAAAATAAAGCCATGAAAGCAATGAAACAGTGATCATAGGAACTGACGGAATTTTCACAATAAATGGCATAAACAACATGTAACCCATCATGGGACCTCCTTTGCCAGTACCAAAATATACTAATAGGGGTTTTTCCCCTTTTTTTCTGGCAAAAAAACTGACACCTTTTGCAAGGAATCATGCTTACATTAACCACAATACTTGCAGTCAAATGCAAACAAAAAACAATACTCTGATAATTTATGCATTGTCGAACACCATATGAGACAAGCTCCAAAGAAAGCTGTCTCTGGTGTGGACCAATCAGTTTCAAAGACAATGCATAAATTATCAGAGTATTGTTTTGTGTTTGCATTTGACCGCAAGTATTGTGGTTAATGTAAGCATGATTCCTTGCAAAAGGTGTCAGTTTTGTTGCCAGAAAAAAAGGGGAAAAACCCCTATTAGTATAACATGTAACCCAATCAACGGTGGAGAAGCAGGATGGTGAGGAGAGGGTGAAGTGAGGGGAAGGTGGAACGGAGGATGAGTGGACAACTCCTCTAGAGCATCTTCTTGGTTCTTTCGGTAAAGTCACGTAGAAAGAAATTAATAAAATAATAAAAATAAAACATAATAAAATAATTCTCACGACGTTTCGGCCACAACGCAAGTATCCGTCTTCAGGTGAAGAACAGGTCTGTCAAGGAGACATAATTATTTTATTATGTTTTATTTTTATTATTTTATTAATTTCTTTCTACGTGACTTTACCGAAAGAACCAAGAAGATGCTCTAGAGGAGTTGTCCACTCTAGCTGCCACTGCTTTTCAGTGGCCTGAAATCAAATGTATCGCTCCGGATGACCGCTGTAAAGTAACATCTTGTGTTTTGATTATAGTGTGCTAATCTTTAAAGATACATTGAAATTGTTTTGATATTCCTACTGATACTCCTGCTGTTATGCAGTGACTCATGCGGCCAGCTAGGGTTGTAAAGTTTGCTCGTACATGTTATGTGTATCGTTTATTGTAAAATTTTAATCACAGTTCCTATGATCACTGTTACATTGTTATTGTAGCTTTATTTTGGTGATTTCGAAAAGGTTCTGGTTTAGCCATATTTGTTTGTTGTAGTTGTATTGTTTGACTTGCATCCCACTGGGATGTTTACACACAGCATTGATATTCGGTGCTTTATCTGGAAGACTTTGCTGTTTTTTCCTGGATTTTTCTGTTGCACGTAATCACTTTAAAATGTTTCTTGTTCATGTTTTTATTTGTTGCGGTTGCACCCGATTCAAGAGCCGAATGGCTCACAGGGCTATATCTAATACATGAACTGAACTGAAGTTAGCTCCCACACAGCGTTACGCAACCAATGAAAAGATAATGCCGCTTGACTGATTCGGAGTGAGACCTCTGCTGTTAAACCGGAGCCGGTCATGAGCACACTGCCCAGGTATAGGAAACTCTACACTCTCTCCACAACTGCCCCATCACCAATTGAGAGTTGTGAGGGTGGAGTGTCCGATGGTACAAATTTCCAGGCAGGTGCTTAGTTTTGGTGGGGCTGATGGTAAGGCCCCAACTCCCGGTGGCAAGCTCCAGGTTCAGCAGTAGCACCTCCTACTCCTCCTCTGAGTGAGCAGCATTCACCAGATCTTTGGCATACGTAACATGGTTGAGTAATAGGGAGTCATCCCTTGACCGCACCCGGGCATCGATCAGCATCCCATTATATCTGGACCAGATGGAAATTCCTCCGGTACAGCTATTGAAGCCTTCACGAACTACGTGGTCAAAATAGATGTTAAATAATGTGGGAGCAAGAGGACATCCCTGTCGCATCCCAAGGTGTACAGTGTTGTATCTATGCCCCTTTTTAAAATTTATATTAAGAATAATTAGGCCAAAATGTTTATATATATATTAATTAAATAATGAAAACAACCCACTACTCACCACATTCCATGCCGGGCATCTGGGAAAGTGGAATGCCACCAAAAACAGCAACGTCAGGACCTCCCCATCAACCTTTGTCTTCTAACGGTTCGGCACAAACATGCCAGCCATCAAATAGAGAGGGGTCTGGCCTCGGGGCGACCCACTCAGGGGGAGGAGGGGTCAAAATGTCGAGAGGGGGGTCTGTGCTGGCATAGCTGGGACGTCTGTCTTTGGTTGTTTTTCTCTCGCAAGAAATGCGTAGAGGGGAGGTTTTTTTTTTCACTTTTTTGGGTTTTAAACACAAACGCACATCACGCAGTGCAGTCTGGTTCGAGTCGCGCTCAGTCTTGCTCTCGGCTTGCGACGGGGCTCGCAAGGGAGTTGGGGCGCGTCGTGCCTCGAGGAGAGATGGGACGACGAGGGGTCGTTAGAGTGACAGTCTGATGGCAGTCTGGTTCGAGTCGTGTTCGGTGTGACTCAAGCTTGCGACGCAGAGTTGCGAGGGAGGCTCATAAGGGAGACAGGGCGGAGGCTTGCCGAGGCATCAACAAACCATGGGTCGTGCCTCGAGGAGAGATGGAACGAAGTGGCGAGGTGTGGTTAAGAGCGAGTGAAGCTGTCAGCTGCACGAACAAAGGAAAGCACGGAGAAATGAGAGAGAGAGAGTGACAACAAGCAATCAACCTGTAGAAAAGGGCGGAAATCGCCAAGCGTCGACCAAGCGAGCATCGCAAAAGACGAGCAGCAGCGGATGAGCAACGAGAGCCATCGTTCATCGCCAGAGCGCTCCAAGCGCACAGCCGCGTCGTCCAGAGCCTGAGCCAACACATCCCTGAAGTAAGGGCGCGTGTCCGTGTGAAGTTGGCAGCGATCAAGGAGAGAGAGAGAGCACGAGCAGCACCACCCGGGCGTCATCGAGCGTCGTGCCGACTCGTCATCCAGCGGTGGAGGAGCTGCGCGCTATCCGATGACGGAATCACCGCGCACCACGACGGCGAGCGTCGTGCCGACGCCACTCATCAAGCAGTGGAGAGAGAGAGCGCACGAGCAGCACCAAGCCCCCGGAACCATCAAGCGCCATGCAACCAAGTTCTTCAAGGAACATCGTGCCAACGCCGCTCAATCTAGCAGCGGAGAGAGAGAGCGCACGAGCAGCACCAAGCCCCGGGCGCCATAAAGCGCCAAGCAACCAAGTTCTTCAAGGAACATCGTGCCAATGCCGCTCAATCTAGCAGTGGAGAGAGAAAGCAGGACGGGCTCGCTGCTGCCACGCCCAAGCGAGAGAGAACCTCTCTGGCTCTTGGTGGAATATCGCCTTCCCCCACCCCCTGTAAGCTAACGACACAACTCCAAGCTCTAAAAATAAATTAATTTTTCAAGGATACAACGCACACACAACACGCACACGAATAAGACTTTCAAAAAGTTATCTTTGTGTTTCGAAAAGGGTTGCAATTTCAAGTTGGTACGTTCAATATCAGCTGATCGTGCAAAACAGTTGCTGCCGTCGAGTTCCATTAATAAGAAATGTTTTAGTCATTTATTTTCGTTAATTGCATAATCTTGCCGATTAATCTATTGACATATACTTTTGTCTTTGCATATTAGAGTGTCATATTTTTGTTTAGAATTAAAATTGCTTAACACCAAGTGTTCGAGTGCTTCTTTCCCAGTCCATGCAAAACTGTCTTATTCGTTGAGATATGAATTTGGAGACCTAACATAACAAACACACTAAGATAATCAATAAATGTTTAATCAAAGATAATCGTTTTATCCTGATTGATACAACTCTGGATAACGAATCTAAGTCTAATTATCATAACTGCACACATTAACATAATCGCAAGCATTCGCATAAAGCAATAATGTATTCACATAATTTAAAACATTAGCATAATTTATGCGAAATTTTCTAGAATTATCTTTTTTTTTTCAATATTTCATACTCCAGCATATACAAGAACAGGAAATGGCTCTGACTCCCGGCCACGTAGTTTTCCCGGGCCCGCTCACCATCATGAAGGTCCTTAATGATCATGAGCAGAGGGTCAGGGACTCCGAAAGCACGAAGAACAACCGAGAGCCTACTGATGGTATCATCAGCCTTGACCAGGTCAATAAAGCAGAGTTGTCGGTCTTTTTGGAATTTCCTACACCTCTGCTGTAGCAGACGGACAGAAAATATGGCATGTGCAGGACCGCCCTTTCCTGAAACGTCATTGGGGTTCCACAAGCCTCTCCTGCCTAGAAAGCCGCATGCCTAGCAAGGCGATTTTGAATAATCCTTGCCAGGACCTTTCCCGGCACACTAAGTAGTGAGATGCCCCTGTAGTTGTTACAGTCTGTGCGGTCCCCCTTCTTAAAGAGGGGGACCACCAGGGTATCCTTCCAATCCTGCAGAACCCGTCCAGTGTTCCAGACAATTGTAATGTCATGTAGGGCAGTCTGTGCACAAACGCCACCGTCCTTCAGCATTTCGGTTGGGAGATCAACTCTGCCTGGTGCCTTTCCTGGTCTCAGACTCTGGATCGCCTTCAGTACTTCTGTAATATGAGAATATATCTGGCTCACTGACGTATCACAACTTGTCATGGTGATTGGATCTGCCGGTCCTGGTTTACAGCCAATGGGGGGAAGCCTGGGGGCATGGCCCTGACGTGATGGAAGGGTGGCAGCTATGGAGATTGGTTCTGCTGGCTTTGGCCTCAGCCAATGGGGAGATGAGTCAGGGGCGTGGTCCGGGGAGCTGACAAGGGAGCCTGGAAGATTTGATGCAGGCTAACGAGGATTGGCGGAAGCGTACCACGTGACCCGGGTATTAAATAGGGGTAGAGAGGAACGACACGTGGTCAGAACGGGAACGAACGGAGGAAGGGGCCACGCGGGAGCGGGGCTCCGAGTTGCCATGTGGCAGTGCGTCTCTCTCTATCTGTCCCTCTCACGCTGCCTATCAGCAGCGTGAAGTAACTGTAACCTAAAGTGGATAACAGACGGATTCCAGAAGTCGTCTCAAAGAGCTTTATTACACTTCCACAACAGATGGCACCTCAGCAGGCCACTCGAGCACCACCGCCAGCCTGACACCGTCGTCGTCAGAGGAGAGGAAGCGATCCGGAGCCTGCTGGCTCCTTTCTACCATAGGGAGGTGTCAGAGGCAGCCTCCTTGTGCTCCACTGCTCCTTCCCCGCTCCCCACCGGGTGTCCAAGCTGGAAACGTGGCCGGTTTCTGGGTACCGCTCTCGTTCCCTGCAGGCTGGAGTTCAAGAGCGGAGAGGCCTGGGGTCTTCCTCCATTCACCCTCTAGTCTCTGGTGGTGATTGACACTTTGTTTGCTGCAGTTGTTTCAAAATTTCAATCACCCACTTTCCCTATGCAGGTGTATTTTCTTTTGCCACTTATTTGTACCCTGTGACACAATACACTACACTACTATACTCTACACTAAACAATACACTACTATAGACTACTATACACTACACTATACACTACTGTAGACTACAATACACTACACTATACACTACTATACACTACACTATACACTACACTATACACTACACTATACACTACACTATACACTACATACTACACTACTATACACTACACTATACACTACTGTAGACTACTATACACTACACTATACACTACTATACACTACACTATACACTACACTACACACTACACTATACACTACTATACACTACACTGTACACTACACACTATACACTACTAACTCAAATCCCAGCTCCCCCATGACCGATGCTTGACACCCCAACCTCCAGAGGGGGACCCCCACCCCCCACCCCCCCACCACTTCCTAAAACCCCTTAAGAAAAGACCTTCTAGAAGGTTCTAGGTCGAGGTGATGCTGCTTTGAATCCTTGGAGTGCTGCACTACCGTTGGGTCCTGGGGGGGGGGGGGGTGGTCCCCGAGGCTGCAAGCGATCTCGAGAGTGAATGTTGCCCACAAAGCTGGTGGGCTTCTGCCGCGTTGCCTCGTCACCCGGGAGTGGAACGCGCGTCAGGGTTGTGGTACGAACGGTCGCCGCGGAGTTCTGCGATCGTCGACACGCTGTGTTAAGCCGGTGGACTTACAGAGTTATGTAAATGTGCGCTTTTACTGTTGCCGAGAGTTTTGAAGAATTGGTTGCACTTGGTTGTCAATAAATTTGTATCTGCCACAGTTGGTTCACGTCCTTGAACAAAGTGTTTCAATAGTGCATGACGAATCGAGATGTGGTTATTCAATTCCAAATCTTGTTAAGTTTCTCTGTATTCCTGAGCAAGTTAATGGCCTTGTTTTTGTCGCAATTAAAACAATGTTGAAAAAACCGCGCTGGTGCCATATAACAACATTTATTGTGGGAATTGTAGGGCAAAGAAAATGGATCCGAACTGCTTTTTAAATCCTTTATATTAAGTTTGCTTGCTTGCTTGCGTGCTTGCGTGCTTGCGCGCTTAGGACCGTGCAAATCTTTCGGTCGTTTTTTAACCCACTTCCCGTGATCCAATCGAGCTGACATATTCCACACAGACTCGGTGTGCGTGACAATTAATGTTCGTGAAATTATTTTCCCAAAATTTTACACTTTTTAGGACAAAAATATTATATTTTATTACCAATTGCTTAATGGTGCAATGCAATCATCTGACCCATAGGTGGCAGCCATCTCAAGCCATAGGACGAGAGGACTCTAGCCGCCACGCATATAAAGGATTTATAGTGAAAAACTTTGTTTTTACGGGTTATACTTATTCTTGCCTTTGTACTGATCGTGTTTTAGTGTTCTCTGGTCTACAACACTGGTGGTGAGACTAGGCCATAAAGAAGGCTGCTGTCTCTGGTGTAGGCCAATCAGTTTCAAATACAATGCCTATATAATTATCAGAGCATATTTTTAATGCATTCATCACAATCACTGTGTGTGGTTAATGCAGACATTATTCTTTGCTTAAGTTTCTGTTCGGTGTTTAACATCTTAACACAACTCCTATTTTATTGCCATATTTTTTTTACCTATCATTATTATTTTCTCACACTTTAAAGGGACCTATTTTTTTTACACACTGATGTTGACGTGTTACGGCCGGACCCCCCTGGGGCGCCTGCCCCCCGCCCACATGAGCGGGTCACGGTGCCGGGTTCAGCAAAGGGCCTCGCCCGGTGGTTTGTGGCTCCACAAACTGGACCCTGAGCCCCAGGCACGTGACCGAGTTAAACACGGCCACTCCCACCGGTATCTCACAGCTCGACTACTGGAACGCAACTTTGAGGCAGGAACAAATTATTGTAATGAAGTAGTTGAAAGTGTTAAACTTAAAAGAAAAAAAATGAGGCTGAAAGACGAAGATAACAACAACAATCTCGTGGAGTAGAGCGGCAGGGAGCAACGAGTTTATTAGCAGCGTTCCCCTGCCAGTTCAGCTGATACGAGTTGAGGTGAGGTTAGTTGAGATGAGGTGAGATTAGGTGAGTTGAGGTGAGGTGAGTTGAAGTAAGTTTAGGTGAGTTGAGGTGAGTTGAGGTGAGTTTAGTTACGATGGGATGAGGTGAGTTGAGGTGAGATGAGGTGAGTTGAGGTGAGTTGAGGTGAATTGAGGTGAGTTGCGATGAGGTGAGTTGAGGTGAGTAGAGGTGAGGATGAGGTAATCTGAGTCTTCTTTTTTTTAAGCCACACCTGGAGTTGAGGCGTCTGTACTCGCTCACACGTCAACACATTCCAGGGCACGCCTCGTGACATGCAAATCAAACTGAAAGACTTCCTACTTCCTTGTCACCTATTGACGTGGCTTGTTCCTTGTTTAGCGTCTCAGACGCAGCCAGCGACTGCCTGAGAAACAGACAGAGACTGCCTGAGCTACAGACAGACTGCCTGAGATACAGACAGCGACTGCCTGAGAAACAGACAGAGACTGCCTGAGCTACAGCCAGAGACTGCCTAAGCTACAGCCAGCGACTGCCTGAGCTACAGCCAGAGACTGCCTAAGCTACAGCCAGCGACTGCCTAAGCTCCAGCCCGCGGCTTTCTGAGCTCCAGCCAGCGACTGCCTGAGCTACATCCAGCGCCCGTCTCTGAGTGGAGCCACGGGGCCATGGCGAGTGCGGCTCCCAGCGGTCGCGAGGCTCCAGGGGAGTTGACCTGCCCCATCTGCCTGGACGCCTTCCGCTGCCCCTGCACGCTCAGCTGTGGCCACTCGTTTTGCCTCAAGTGCGTGGAGGGCGCCTGGGATGCGGCAGAGTCCTTCTCTTGCCCACAGTGCCGAGTGACCTTCCCTCGGAGGCCCAAGCTGAGCAAGAGCGTGACGCTCACTAACCTCATCGAGCAGCTGCGAGTGGCTGAGCCCGTGGCTGCCGATGCTGCTGCTTCTGCTGTTTGCTGCGATCATTGCAGGAAGCCCGCAGTGAAGACTTGCCTCAAGTGTGATACGTCGTTCTGTATGACCCACGTCGCGCCCCACCGGCAGTTGGCAAAGTTTAGTGACCACGTCCTTGTGTCGCCCGGTGTGAACCTGGAGAATCGACGGTGCGCGGAGCACGGAGACGAGTACCTCTTCTACTGCGTTAACGACGGACGCCTCGTCTGCAGGGACTGCACCGTCACTGTGGATCATCGAGGGCACGAGCTCGTCACTCTGAAGGTGGAGCACGACAAACGAAAGGTGAGAAGGAGGTTTTCATGGTCACCACGTAGTACCCACGATACCGCAGCATCAGCTGATGAACTCTGTCAACAGCAAAATATAATTATAACGAAACCACAGCGATTGGGTCAGACTCATTTTATAGTGGATTTCATATTTTACATGCCCGTCAATTTATGTTTCAAACGAGTATCTGAAGGGTAGATTTATAGTACAGTCGACCCTTCTGCATCGCGACTTTCCCCATCTCAGGTTCGATATATCGCGGGGTCAGCATAAGAAGTTAAATGGGCATTGTTTTGGAGTTTTTGGGAGTTTTGCGAAAGCCACAGACGACACGCAAAAAGTTTTGTAACTCATAACTGCATAACTTATATATACAGTACTGTATAATATTAATGTATTTTATCTTTTAATACCAAAAAAAGACGCAATTTTTTTCTAAGTTACATTTTGTAAAAAGTTAGTTTGCAAAAAGAACTGCGGTTTGGAGGACACCAAGCGTGTTTACGGCAGCCTCTCATGTGATATCTCGCACTGATATCGCAGTGATTTTTGTATCTCGCGTTTCTCATATCTTTTTGTACCACTTCACACGCCAAGGGGACCAAAACATCTTATGCGGTTTTTCCAGATAGCGAGGGGCCTGCACCCCTAACCCCCGTGATGCGGGTCGACTGTATACAGGCATCAGGGTCGGGTTCCAACCCACGACCTCCTGTATAGCAGGCAAGGCAGATAACATCTCACCACTTTGGTGCCTTGTCCACCCACTACTCGGATAGCCCTGCCCACCACTCGGATAACACCGCTCATTACTCAGGTAGCCCAACCCACTACACCGTTAGCCCCACCCACTACTCAGGTAGCTCCACCCACTACTTAGGTCGCCCTGCACACTGCCCAGGTAGCCCCACTGACTATAAAGGTAGCTCTGCCCACTGCCCAGGTAGCTCCACCCACTACTCAGGTAGCCCCACCCACTGCCCAGGTATCTCCACCCACTACTCAGCCCCACCCACTACTCAGGTAGCCCCACCCATTGCTTAGGTAGCTCCACCCACTACTTAGGTAGCTCTGTCAACTGCTTCGGTAGCTCCACTCACTACTTAGGAAGCCCTGTGCATGTTTGAGCTCCTCGTGAAATCAGTCCCCTGAAGCCTTTACTCCCCCAGCCTCCATCGCTGTACCGGGGCTACTGCCCCCGTCACTGTGGAGGGGTTCGCGTGGAGTTGGGGTGAGAGGGGATGCTTAGAGAGTGAGTGGAGTCTCCCCTGGTGACGTCTCTCACAGAAACAAGTGGGAGAGGGGACGCGGGCGGTGCAGGAGAAGAGGAGGAAGGCGGAGGAGTCCGTGAGGCAGATGGAGGCCGCTCGCAGGGACGTGCAGGTACCACGTCTGGGCCGGACTCTGTGACCCCGTGACTCCACCATGAGTAGGGTTTGTGATGGAGGAGAACTCCATTCATTCACGCGGACTTCCATTGGCTCTAAACACATTGTGGGACTAAAGAAACAAATGTTCATGCGCCTCAATAATCAGGACGAGCAAAGAGGTGTTTCTCATCTCCACTGAGAAACTGAATCAGTGGTGGAAATTCCACATTCCCATATCTCCATACAACTTACCACTTCGACGTCTGTTATCTATATTGGTCAGATGAGG